TGCCTTCAAGCAGTTACCTCTACACCCATCAGTATGGCACTTACATGGTGTTAAATGGAAAAATAGTTATTTTTTCGTCCGTTTGGTATTCGGGGCCAGATCAAGTCCGAAAATTTTTGATACATTGTCACAAGCTACTAGTATCTGTTGGATAGCAGAGCACCGATTTCAAGTGAAATTTATCCTACATTTGCTAGATGACTTTCTTACTGTGGACAAGTTGGAAGAGACTGTTGCTTCAGAATGACCGCATGTGTCCAGTACAGAGTCTGAAGCGATATTTGTCTCTCAGAGTGGCTTTGCTCCTAGACCTAGTTTAGGGACCCTCTGTTTGTAACTGAAGACAACTTACCACTGACGCGTTCTGTTTTCCTACAGTATTTACGCAGACTTGTCTGCTCATTGGGTCTCAGTTCATTTCAATTTACAGGCCATTCCTTCCGTATAGGGGCAGCTACGTCTGCAGCAAATGCCGGTATCCAAGATCACATGATTAAGGCACTAGGCAGATGGTCTTCAGATAGCTACTTGAGGTACATTCATACTTCAGGGATGTCAGTCAGATCTGCACATTCTACATTAGTCAGTAGTTTCTAATCTAATTCATTATAAATTCCTCTATCTTGGGGTCATTTCATTTGGGGGCTTCGTATATTTATCATATACAAAATATATTATTTAGTGTCAAATAAAATATACTATACTATACTATAATGCAATTCTATGGGCTGTTAATAACTTTGTACGTGACACAGAATTAAATACATACATGTATACATGTATTCCCATACAATCTATAGCTATGGTATATCGACTATGTGTACCATTCATTAGGTGGCACCATCTAAGAATAAATATACACATTCAGCTAGTGAAGCAGATGGAACTATTTATGTTCAAAAGCAAACTATTTATACATACACATGTACACCCATGTACATGTACTTATTGCATATAACCAAAACAGATCGACAAAAAAGAGATACAGTTACGTCTATTTTGTAATGTACATGTGACTACATGTACCTTTACTAGCTAGCAATCACAAGTATTCCTAAATAAAACACAATGTACAAAACACAGAATACCTGTTATTTTGAAAGGTTAAAATTCAGTGACACATATGTCTGCACACAGTCCCTCTGGGGACTATGGTCTGCAATTTAATGAGTACTGTCTGAATAGCTATAGTTACAATATGACTAACTGAATTATAACTGAACTGAACTGGAACTGAACATTGTACCTGTATACCATACATTGTACATTGTATACGTGAATAAATCACAACAATAGCTAAATGGTTTTAATGACAAGCATACTGTCAGCAGTCATAGCTTCTGTATAGTGATTGTATGCAAGCCATGTTAGCAACATAATTAACAAGTCTGCACATACATGTACATATATATTCAAGGTTTGAAATTCACAGAGGCCATGAAGGCAGTTGCCTTAATGTCCTACCTGACTGACTGCCTTAGTATCCTGAAATGTTCACTAAACAGTTTCAATGAGATCAAGGTACATGTGTTTACAAAAGCAACATATGTAGTGTCATATAATCCTGAATCCCTGTTGATGTGAATCTACAGGTACACATAAGATCATTCAAGTATGAATTAAAAACTCATTCAAATGGTTAAGTGAAATTAAATGCTAGTAAAGTAAACACACTGCACATTACACTGGTAATGAAAAATGCAAAAGCCCTTTCACTATACCTTAAAGATAATATCTATAAATCCCCTGATTAAAAGTTGCGAGAATATTTGCTACGTTCACACGACAGCATTTTATCGGAGCCCAACGGCTCGAGCCGGCTTGAGCCAGCAAAAATGGCAGTGTAAACGAGTTCGACTCGAGCCGGCTCGAGCCAAGTTCGGCTCCGCTAAACCCTCGGGGTTGAACTCCGATAGGGTTGAGTCCTGACATGGCTCCGATCGTGTAAATGCATCGGAGTCCAACTATCGGAGCCGAAATCATGCCCTCAATCGTCTTCTTCGAGTAACCTCTCATT